TTATTTACAGCAAGGAAGACAGAGGGTGGAGCCTTAGACAGGAAATGGCACCTGCTCAGAGAAAATGCTGCATATTATTCCACTGTAAAGTAGTCCCATTGGTCTGTTGGTAGAAGCTGGCAGTGAGAATTGTCTGGAATCCAAGACAATTGGCAGAAGAAAGTGGAAGGAATAAAATTTTCCCAGCTGAGGGAAACACAGACCCGAGGAACTTGTGTGAGCAGCACACGGTAATGTCCGTGGTGATGGAGCTCCAGCAGTTCCTTTCCTCCCACAGAGCTCTGAGAGTGTCACTGAAGCAGTGCCCCTTTGACACAGGTTGATTTTGTCAGACATACTTTATAAGAAATTGATATGGACAAAGGAGAAATTACTGGTTCATAAAAAGAGCAATGAAGAAGGAATAGTATTGTAACCTCCAAACCCTGACTCTTAAAATACCTGGCTCTTAGATCCTGTATGGCAGTGGAGGATCCTGCTGACTTTTACAATTCAGTCACTAATGATATCATCCAGTGGAAATGGTATATTAAGATCTGCCATTAACATATCTCTTCTGTTGGCTTTATGCATCTTTTTTCTAAACAAGCAAAATCTAAAACTATTCGTAAATGTTTGTAGTAACGCTTCAGTTGTTTGTAGTAAGACTGGAAGTAAAAAAAAAAAAAGAGGTGTCAGAGAGAAGTTTTGGCTTTAGCTTCCAGGCAGTAGACAGTGGAGATGCCAGAGCCTGAACAACCTTGCAGTGTCAGGAATACTCACAGTCACTAAAAGGCAGAAAAATGAAATACCATTAGCTAGCAAAAATAAATTTTAAAAAGACACAAATCACCTAAGAACTTGTGTGAAATGGGGCGTTTTTGAGGTCCTGGCCCACGGCCTTCCTGGGGTCTGGGTGAAAAAAAATCTTACTAGTTAATCTTAGCAGGTTTCAGTGGTGGGCCTGACTTGACTGGAGGGAGGATGGAACTGCAAGTAAAACAGAAGTCTGGGTTCACTGGGTTACACTGACAGGATGGCTCAGCTGCTTTCAGTACAGAAACCAAGATTTATTTATGTGGCTTAAGTGGGATATTGTTTGCTTGGTTTTGGGTTTGTTTTTTATCGAAAGTAAATTCTGCTTACCACTGTGATCACTCTGGCTCTGAGTGTTTTCCTTCCTTGGCAGGAAACACCAGTCTGTCATGACCTGAAAGTTTCTTATCTTCTCTTGACATGCTTGAGAATTCACAGGCTTCTGTCGTACCCTTCCTCTCCTGAACACAATGGCATGTGGCAGCTCACGTGCTGTGAGAACAAGCCCAGTGTAAAATCAGCATTAATAAATACTCGCCTTACACCTAATGCCAAAATAATGGCTTATCATGATCTCCTGTTGGAGAACTGCTGCTCAGGGCCTCTCTCCCTTGTTTGTGGAGGTTGAAACTTCTTCGGATCAGGTTATAAAGGAACTTGCTTGTGTGCTTTCCTTGGAAAGAGATGTGCATCCACACAATCAATTAAAGGCAGTTTCATACAGGCATAGCTCAGCAAAAAAATTGTTTTTTTTTTTCTTGAGGAGTGAGGTTGCATCAGGATGTGTCCAAATCATGTCTTTAACAGCCAAAGTATGTGTTTTACCATCTGCATTTTTCAAATAGGGAAAAACAAACATAAATCAACTGTGATTAATTAAGGAAAAATATTCTTACTCAAACATGAGGATAGTTCTGATTGTCAATAGAAAGTACTTTGTAAAAGCTAAGGTTTAGTTATTTATCGTTTTTAAAATTTTCCTTGTGGTCCAGTGATGTTAGAATAATAATATAATTAAAATTAATGTAATTACACATTTGTTTTTTGGAAAACAAATAGCAGTTTGGCTTTGAGTTCATGGATATTCAATAGGTTCTTAGGTCACAAACTATACAAAAGACCTAATGCTACAAAATTGTAACAAAACTGTGAGTTCAAAAATGCAAATAAACACAGAGGACCAAGACAATTGGCCTTTTAGTTTTCCCTTATAGAAACAAAGGTTTATTTGCCTTTTAAACAGGTCAGTAAAATGAAATTGTCACCCTATGGTGCATGCAGGATAATCATAAAGAATAAGCTACTGATAGATGGCAGATAGTCTGTGAAAGGGTTAAATCTGAAATCTGCAGTAAATACAAACCTGAACCAGGGGAAATATGACTGGATAGGGCCTTGAATTTGTTACAAGATATTGTTGGTGATCCTCCAGAATTTTTAGGAAAAACAGTTGCAAACACCTGAAAGGCTGAACCAGCAGCTCTTGCCTCCGTGCAAGCAGCAGCTCCATGGTGGCTATAAGGTGTTATTTGGAGAAGGTCCTGCTTATGGTCAGGTTGTTCCCAGATTCTGTTTTTCCTTCAGATTACTCACAAATTAAGAGTAGATTCTTTGCATAAGAGAGCACAATCTGCTATGAAAATACATTTTAATTCAGTGTTTTAAAACATCCATGAAAGACAGAATTATGTCCAAAGGTCAAAGATTTTGAACGATTTTCAAACTGTTGGCCACAATGCCTTGGTGCCACATCTCTAAGAACAAGAAAGAGCACAAAGCCAACCACTTTCTAGCTGGTTCCCAGCACAGGGCAGAGGAACGGGGAGAGGAACTGTCCACACTGGAGCCAGCCACTGTCCGTTCTCTTCAGTGCTGCACCTCTTCTTTACTGACTCTATGGGGTGTAGGAACCAGCATTCGTAATAAGAGCTAATCTGTATTCTCCATTAGCATCCTAGGCCTGGATAACATGCTGGGCTTTTGGGGCTCCTGTGTGACTTTTTTCAGATGCAGTGTCCATACAAAGCTGGGTGATTTCAGTTGAGTCACAGATCAAAAGTAATCCTGAGTCTTATACCTCATACCTGAGAAGAAATAGTAGGTGAACCCAGAATTGTTTGAAATACTCTGGGTTTTTAGGATCAGGAGACCTTTGAGAATGTTTTGTTTGCATTGCAAGAAGGGATGTTTCCTGGAATACTTGCTTTTTTCTGCAGTACAGAATCTACATAAAAACTAGTAAACTAGGCCATTAATAAATATGTAAAAGAAGCCTGATCTGTGAGGTGCAGGCTCAGTGTATGTGAGGACACTGAGCTCCACTAGTTCCACTCCATTGATTATTCACATGGAATTAGAGGGTTTACAGACCATTGAAATGATTTGGAGACTGCCAGACTTTCTAATGTAATCTTTATTTTTTCCTTTTTCCACCTGTGAGTTAATGCTTTTTATTTGTTACTTCAGTAGATAATTTTAATGGTAGCTTTTCAACTTTATATCCTGCTGGTATAGAGTTTAACAAAATGCCTTTTTAAACAGTGTATTTAATTCCTCAGTCATCCCTCTGGGAATAAATTCTTACTGTATTATAGCTTCTTTTATATCTTTTTATTTTTACTGTAGTGAAGAACTTCGGCAAACTTTTCTGATTTCCTCTCTGTGTCTCATGTGCATCTCTTTTGTGTCTGCACCAGCTGCAATTTGCTGCTGGTATCCACAGCTGGTCATGTCCTCTTACAGTATTTTAAACACTTAAAGAAATTCCTTAATAGCATTTTTATTTTTACATCTGGACCTCCAGGAAGCAAATCAAATTTTCACACCTGACTGCCAGTTTGAGGTGTTATCCGTGATGCTGTCAGTGAGCTGATGTTGTGGAGAATCCTGTTTAAAATTACTTTAACAGTCTTTAGCGATTCTGAATGGTAGCATTTATGGTGGGAAGTGTTTCATGATGGTTCTCTCGGAAGTAACTGTATGTATGTGTAGAAGTCAGATCTTCCTTACTGGTAATTACTTGCTCTTGCTTTTTGCAAAGTTAAATATGGAGCATTTTGGCAAAAGTATTTATGGGGTTGGTTGAAAATTGTTGTTAAATCCAGTTCATTGCAAGCAAAACCATAACAATTGAGTGAACATTTTTCTGGGAGACTTATTTTCATTACAAGTAGGACTGGCTCTTTTCAGTCCAGCAGTGGTTTGATTAGAAGTGCTGCTGTGCCGTGGTGTGTTCAGCTGTACAGTGTTTGCTGTGAGCCAGAGTCCCAGCCCCTCACAGATCAGGCTCCCTCGCTATGTCTGATGCACAATCCCTCCATGGGAAGAACCCAGGGTCACAAGAAGTTTGCACTTTTCCTACGGAGCTGAACAACAAAGAACATCTTTTTTCCTGCAACTCCAATAAAACTGGCCATGTTTATGAATTGAAATACTTTCAGTTTTGTCCAAAATGGTCATTCTTCAGTCTCTGGAAAGGATGGGAAATAATGAAGTGTGTGAATAAAAACACCTTTGTCTGCTTTTGGATTATTTTCTGGTACAAAATTACTTCCTCAGGACAGCAGAATGGTTAATTACTAAAAGCCTCCAGGTTAAGGGATACCAACTTTTGTCCTATGAAGCAACAATATGTGCCACTTATTTGCGAGGTCATGTAATAAGCCACAGACTTCCCAAATTGCTTCCGGAAGGTTTTAAGACTCAGATAAGAAGTCACCGTATTTTCTCAGAGAAAAAGACCACACAGAGATTTCAGAGTTGTGGACTATAAGGGAATAAAACATCCAGAGTTCTTTGAATCAGATCTGAATCAAAGTTGGATACACATTAATGTTTTGACTTTTAGGCAGAGCTGACATTTGTTGTGTAGCTGCTAACAGAGCTCTCCAGGTGCTGTCAAGGGAGGGAAGGTATTTTACAGACAGGCAATGTAATCCTGTGTTTGTTTTTAGAGAATATGGAGAGATGGATTATAATCAGAAGTCACAACCAAAAATGCATTCAGGCTAGTTTAATTGTTACGAAGTCGGTACAATTTACTGCTACACTGAAATTAGTATATATTATCTCATTAATTCATTCCATCTGCTGCATCATACAGAGTAATATCAGGAATGGTTAAAAGGCTTACCTCAAATGTACTTTGAAAGTTTGATTGCATTCAGTGTTTTTCCGATTTTCACACCCTTGTCTGTCTTTCTTAGTCTGTTCACAGTTTTCCAGAGGAGTTTATGCTATCTTTGGATTCTATGACCAGATGTCAATGAACACACTGACGTCATTTTGTGGAGCCCTTCATACATCCTTCATCACGCCCAGCTTCCCAACAGATGCAGATGTGCAGTTTGTCATCCAGATGCGGCCGGCGTTAAAAGGAGCCATCTTGAGTCTCTTGACGTATTATAAGTGGGAAAAGTTTGTGTACCTCTATGACACAGAGCGGGGTAAGCACCATCATTTTAACTGATTTTTAGATTTCATAGCTTGCTCCAAGTCTTACCAGAATCAGCAAATGCAGCACAGTTTTCTTCTGGATGTAGGTAGCACATCCTGGTGGTCCTAGACAGAAGAAACTAAAGTGAATGCAAAAATGAAAAGAAGACATCCTCATATTGCTGATCATTTTTAAAGAGATTTTTGTGGAGAATATTGTTAACAGTTTAAGCATTCAATTTGGCATACCTGGTTTCCATAGAACCACACACTCAGCACTTACCAGGGTTCTTAAGTCCTTGCAAAACAAATAAAGTCGACACTATGAAGTTGTCTGTTTGGCAAGACCTTCCACTCTGTGTGACATTGCAAATCCTGCACCACTTTACTTAAATGCACATTTCTGCTGTCACTGGACAAAGACAGTCCCTGCTCAGATACGCTCTGGAGATGTCTAAGCATCAATAAAGTCTAAGAATAGAGAGTGTAAGATGCTTTAGGGCTCGGCTGAAGAAAAGATGCTCCAGATATGTCACATGGATATCCAGAGACAAATTTAGATACGTGACAAGAATGACCAGAGTTATGTTTTACTAAATGGAAACATACTAAAACCAGTGTTTCCACACTTAAACCGGTTATTAACTGCTAAGAAGCACAAAATGTAGCAAATACTGTCAAAAAGAGATCTAGACAACAGGAACCATTTCCTGTTAGGAATCTTGCATGTTTCTGTGGAGCAGCTGTTGCCTCCTGCTCTGAACGTACAGAATTTGCTCCATTACAGATTTCACCTGGGTAGCATTTTTTGTGTCAAATAGATGTGCCAGTGCCCTTCTCACCAGTTTTGTGATTTGCAGCTCCAAGACCTTCTTCAGTTCAAAGGGATCTGGATAGAGACAAAGAAGCTTAGATTCTGTTCCTGGCTCCCGTGACAAAATTCCAATCCCTTAGGCTACTGCATATTGTTAGGCATCAAGTCTTCAGTGGCTGTGTTTTTCACACTGAAGATTAGTAGCATCACCCAACTAAGAGCATATCATATGTTGAAAGAAAGTAATTTTCAGTCTGATTTTAGGTGAATGTCAAGAGTTGAGAATTTTCTGAGTGATTTCAAAGTGTTGAATATTTCTAGCACTGAAAAACACCAGCTATGAGATCAAGTATGAAATATGGAGAAGTTAAAAATGCCATTACTTCTTAACTCTTGTAGAACACCCATACATCCATATTTCTGGTTTAGTCCACATTTAAATGAAAGCTCCTGTGAGAAATCCATTTGTTTGAGTAAAAAAGGCTTGATGTGGCCAAATGTGATAAACCTACAGAATGTGATAAAGTAAAATGTCATTTATTCCAGGACTGATGAAACTTATCATGATTAAGGCTAATAAAGTTTGCTTTAGAAAGAGCTTCAGCAGTTGTCCAAGATCATGCCCAATAAGAAATTTGGCACTTCAGACTGGAAACATATTCCAAAACAATGAGAGTTTCACTAGAACTTGCCTAGATGACTTGACTATCAGACTGAGATATTTTTCTATAGGAGAGAGAGGCAGGACAATTAAGTACCGAAAAATGAACATTATAGTTCTTTGTTTGAGGAGTGGTAATCATGGTTGACAGCACCTGAAACACGTGGCAGTTCCAGTAAGCTCCCTAATTTCTTGTGATAGACCTTCAAATACCAAAAAACATCCCGAGACTTTGGACAGTAATAGTGGGGAATGACTCCTTGTGTCAGGTAGTGAACAGACTGTACGTGTTCCTTTGCTGAGATACCACTGGAAATGCCAACACTAGAGCTGTAACAATTTTTAATAATTCCTGTCTTGGATACTTGCCTGCTTTAGGCCACAAACACTGCCGAGAGAAGGTGTTAAGCAGTTTACTGACAGTTCCTGAAATAACTTTCATTTAAATACTGCCTTTCTAAGATTATAATCTCACTGAGAATCTGAGAAATCACTAAATATTAGACCACTTTTTCTTACATTGAATATTAGTTCTGCACTAAATTGTTCTTGCAAGCAGTTTTACAGTGTTCTGCTGAAGCAAAACACTGCCATGTATTAAACATTGCGTTTTCTATTAATAAGCACCTTAGCATATTACAAAGGCCATACAAACCTGAATAAACCCTGTGGTTAAAATGAACTCTTTTGGTTTAAGCTTAGGAGGATGGAGCTTTATAAAATTGCTTTCTTTAAGCAGTAGTTTTTTTGTTCTTTTCCATCAAATCATATAATCATATGGTTTCCCCCTTGGTGATGTTGGGTACAGTACTGTCATGTTTGGCTCCTGCAATGAAGAGAAAAGATAAATCTCAAACAATAGAATAAAGTTAAGATGTACAATTACATAGATAGGTGGTGAAGCTTTTAATCCAGTGATTTAGTGTGTACATTGTATATATTTTTATTCTTAAGTATAAAATAATATTTTCCGTTGCTATGAGATGACTGAATGTTGCAGATTGTGCTCTCGGATATGTAGTTATGTGCAGGTGTAAAATTCAGTTTCTTAAAAACTTCTAAAGCACACAGAAAAAGAATAGAGTATGAGATTCATGATTTTCAACAGCAAGAATTATATCATTACTTATTTCAGTTGCTGGGCTAATTCTTCTATGGAGAAACAGAAATTTAAGGGTAATATCAAATTCCATGTTCTTTCCTTGTACCACAAGAAAAAAATATTTACTTCGCAGAGTAATGAAGCATTAGGAAATGGCTGCTAAGGAAAGAAAGGACTTTAGCAGTGTATAGAAGAAATATTCATTTGTTCATTCCATGCCTCATGTGTTTAGATCATGTGAAAGGGAAAGGCAGGGTTGGTTTCTGTTTGTATTAACTCACATCAGTAAGTTGACACTGTTGGTTGCTGTGATGTGTGCAAAGTATCTGATTAATTATATGGTGCTAACTGCCTCAGTAGGCTTCTCTGCAGTAGAACTAAGACTAATTAAGATTATGTCAGGATGAGATGAGATGAGGTTACATAGAGAAAGCTATTAAGAATTTGGGTACCACTTGTCAGGAAAGTCACCTTTTGCATCTCATGCTGAGAATTATGTTTCATCCAAAACCTCAGGTTTACTTTCACCCTTCAGGTCTGTTTCTCTTCTTGCTTTACTTTAAATCAGATATTGTTCCACTGAGGTCAGTGGACCAGAGTAACACAGGTGTGAATGTGTGGAGAGGTGAGCTTGTGGTTTTCACAGTCATCTTATTATTGCATGAAAGTGTGAAGTACTTCTCATTTAATTATAAAAATGGTACAGGGAATTATAATACTGAAGCTTTTGTTTATTTAAATTTTCATGGTGCTTCATTTCAGTTTATTTTCGCCAGAGAAACAGAACTTTGTACAGATCGTTCACTTTCCATCTGTCAGTGTAGCACAGTCATTTTGTCCTGAGTTACTTTGATTTGTCATACCTACTGTGCAGAAAGACACTGATTTCTGTCATGTAGGTCGTTTAAACAAGATCACACCAAGTGATTTCTGTGATTTGCATCAAGTCTTTGTGTTCTTCCTTTGGATCACAGGAGTCATCACAGGACATGAAAGTGCTATCTTGGTTTGTGTAATGTCTATCAACTCAGCAGCAGGTCAGTCTAGGCAGAGGTGCAGAGAGATCCCAGTCTTTGTGGCCTTGTAACAAATACCTCACTAAATCTGAAGTATTTCTGTCATTTGGTTTTGGTTTAGCCTGTCAGTATGTATCTAGTGTGGCCTACAATCAAGGAAAAGAAGTTTTGATAAATAAGGTTATCGTTGGCTAATATTTTTTTTTAATTGGTTAACACTGGCTCGGTGAAGGCTGAGGCAGCGAGGTGTTAATCTAAAGCCCCAGGTTATGTGGCTAAGGAGAGGTGAAAATGTCTGCTTTAAAAGCAATTACATCTTTAATCCTTAATGCTACAGAAAGGCAGAAATTTGACCTGAACGTAATGGATGGGTACAGATGCAGAAGGCCTGAAAATACAGCCTCAGGAAATACAACCAGTCCTATTTCTTTTAAATACCAAACCTTCTGGTCCCCTGTTGCATAAAGCAATGCCAGGTAAAGAGCAGGGGGGGGAAAAAAAGGTACAAATGGAAGCTTCTCAATGATCATGTGTAAGGCATCAAATTGCCTTAAAATGGGTTCAGTACAAGGCAATGAGGTCTGATTCACTGCTCCTGCTGAAGTCAAAGAATAACTCTGTTTAGTTCTGCTTTTACAAAATGAGGTTAGTTATCTATTGCTATCAAAGGACAAGACACTTCTGTGCTGCATTCCCTGGAGAATGAGAGATTGGAGCTGATAAAAGAAGCAGTATGTGGAACCAGGCTCATTATAGCTTCCACAAAATTAAATTGATGGATTTTTATTCTTTTTTTTCTAATGAAATAAGAGTTGCGCTGAAAATTACTCATATGTAGAACATATTTTTTTCTGCAAAACATCTGGGGTAAGATTAATTTTCATGGAATCTGAGAAGACTGGTTTAGTACTTGGTAGATTCCTAGGGATTTTAGAATGTTGTGTTCTCGTGAATTGTCTCTCCTGAAAACAGCAATGGAAAATGTAACCCAACACAGAATGACTGACTCCTGTTTATAAGCACCTTCCATCAGCAGAGAGGTGCAAAAGAATTCCTCCTTCCATGTAGCTGATTTGTTAAACTCTGTATTGTATTTCTGCATGTCAGGAACTTTTATTTTCTTTATAAAGATCATTCTTCAATGAAGGGGGAAAACGAAACCAGTGGAAGCAGCTACACCAGCATTAATAAACCCTGAATTCAGCACCTGCTGATCAGTCAAATGTCAAGAGAATCAATAGCAGAGCTGTTCATTAACATGTTTATTTTTCAGAGCAGGGGAGTTATTCCACTAACTGAAGAACTGCTCTGAATCCCTTGCATAAAGAAAAAAGGATTTAATGCTGGCTTATGCTTTTCTCAGAATTAAACATGGGCTTGGTCCATTTTAAAATTACAGTTCTGGTTTGCTAGTATGT